GTTCATTCAAGTGTCACCACACTTTAGCTTGTGAGATCAGCTACTTACTTCACAAGTAAGAATGCCACACGCGATAGTCTATCCGTAATAACGATATCCGTATCTCGTTATTACCTCGACCACGGACGATTTAAGATTCAGTCATATGTAATTTGTATCTCACAATCACAACTCCTTGTGATTAACAAATTGCCAAGACTTGAATCTACGGATTCTATTATTTAATTTATTAGAATATTAATTCAATTAAATAATAGATATTGCCATATATATGTATTGATTATATATATTCAAAGTGTTTATGTCCAAAGTTGATTAGATTTAGGGCATAACACTTACAGTCCAGTCACATATGGGAGAAACTATTGTCAATAACTGAATACATAAATCATCCAATCACATTATACTTCACAATTACTTATAAAAAACTAACTCTTCTTTATTACATATACCACAAAAACATCGAAATCTCAAAAGACAGTAGAAAACATAAGAACCCATAAACTTCATCAGAGCTCATCAGTTTGCTTTTTTAACCTCAATGCCAAAAACCCGCAGTCCCTTAAAATACTTCCAAATTTTTAGCTTCCTCATCATCTTTCCGCCAAGATCTACACGAGCAACATAACTACAAAAATGAGATAATTAATACCAGTGACATAAATAACATTGATTACCAACATCATAATATGTTGGCAACAATATGGTCATGTCAAAAAAATAATCCAAGGATTTTGTTAACCAAACCTTTACTTGGAGAGATATATGCTGAACGGAGAAACAGATAAAACAACTACACAAACAATGTCATACATTTTACTACAATTTTGGCTTCGGCATCTTCAACAGGGAGTTCAAGCCATCAGTTAAAGCGGACGATGATGTTAAAGAAGCCTTAAGCAAGTTTAGTGCCTGCAACAAAAACCCAAATTAACTATGAAAGAATGGAGCACAATTTCCTAATTCTTAATAGAATTCTACAAAACCACAAAGTAGTTCATGCAAAGTAAAGCGTAATTTAGTAGATTACCTCAGGCTCGCTAATTGTTTCTACACGCTCTTCAATATCACTGGGAGTATACTCAATTCTTTAAAGAAACTAATAGCTGATGCTGACAAGTTGAAGTTGTCCAACACAAGAAACAACTGATTTGACTTCACATATTTACCAAACAAGTCTCCATTGCCAGATGGGTTCCTTGGATCGAGCAAGAAATCATCCATATTTGATTCAAGAATTCGCAATGGCTGAATATTGCACTTGTACTGCTTTGCAACACCACCATTTATGACTTCGTCCTTCGGTATATCAAAACAATGGGAGTCCAAAGACTCAACTGATTTGTAAAGGTTATCTATGCACCCCAATTCAGATTTCCCATCCAAAAGCTTTATCACAGATCCAAGAGGGATCGTGCAGAAGCTAAAAAGGAAGTCAAGAAAGTCTTCTCCAACTTCTAAACCTAATATCTTGTTTGTAGACTTTGAAAACAATATCTTTATACTTAATTTGGTAATTAAGCTTGGAAATTTCAGATTTTGAAAGTGAAAAGAGATTGAATTAATTGGCTCGGGACATAATTAACAGGGCCTCTTCCAAATAAAATGTCCGTCAAAGGACATTTTGACAACAATGATCTCTTGAGCAGCATTGAAACCTAAGATTAGACCAAAGATAAACAAATCAGGTGAAATTGAGCATAATCCAGTGACAAAGTTAAATTTTAATATGTGTACCTCCTCTAAACCAACATCGATAGATATATACTCGATCCGACTAATGTCAACAAATCCCAAGTCTTGAAGCAACTGGAGAAGAGAGCTCGGGGACGCAGGTAGAACCCGCAAATCATCTGTAATCACAAACATCATCCCGCTTTTAATGAAACCATCTGCATACCGAAACTCCTTAAACTTTTCAATATTAACTATGCCACGGCAGCACCTCGCGTTAGGATAATGACTCCTCTTAGAGCACTTGGGACACAAGTAGTACTTTCCATTACTCGAATCATCAATATTCAGTTTAAGATTTTTGCAAACATCTGCATGGGGATTTCTAGGGTTTAAAAGTATTGATTTGCTAGCCTCAGTAGAAAACATGTCTGTACTTAGTTGTTGAATGCTTTGGTACAAGTTGTTCATGCAGCCAATGGATCCTAACTGAGAGTTTGTAACCGGACAATTGTACCCAGTGGGAGTGTGAGGAAGCTGAGTAAAATGTCGACGAAGTCACTGGTAGCTTCGGCCGCTAGGACTCGAGTTTTCTTATCATCAACCAGAAGCTTTAATGGGATTGTGGGTTTGATATTTTCTATAACAGTGGCCATTGCAGGTTAGATACAAATCAATTGGAACTCAACTGAAAGTTAAACAAACAAATGAACAGGAACAACTTACCCTATATAGAGAATTATTCTCAAGACAACACTCCAAAATAATTGAAAATTTTGAAAAAGACTTTGATTTTGACAAAGAAGAACAAACGACATTAAATTAGCAGTTTCCAATGGAAAAAAAATATCAACGTAACTTCCCTTAAAATTTCAAGTATACGAATTACCAATGCATTCGAAACTAGAGGGTGTACCCTTTCCAATGATAATACATTAATACTTGTATGGGAATTATATCCGATATTTCCATGTGTATTATCATCACTGAAGGATAAAAAAGAGTTATACACGCCATAGAGATATAAATAATTTTTTATTTAAAGAATTAAACTACTAGTACATTTTACTTCACACCGTGCTTTACACTCTGAATAAGTGGCAATTTTTTAATGGTTAGATTAAAGTTGTTTTTGTCAAAGATGATTTGATATCATGTCAAGTGTAAAAAATGTAAATCAAGTCGTAAAGTAGGATGTACATGTAGATCTTTAAATAAAAAAAATTATTTATATCTTATGACTCGTATAGGTCTTTTTTGACTTTTCAGTAATAATAATACTCATGAAAAATATATACATATACATATATGTGTGTGTATATATATAGGATGTCCAAGAAGAGTGGACCGTTGTATTTGTTACACATTAGAATGACTTTTGTCTAGTTTGTGTTAGGCGCCCCCGTGTGATATATGTTATGTTGAAATCTGCAAGCGTACGTGATCGTTGTACAAGTAACAGAAAAAGCAAGTTTAAAGTTTATTGTTCCCACGAGGAATAAAGTTTAAAATATAGTTCAATAGCTAGCATTAAATCCGAATGACTAGCGACAACAAAGTAGTGATTTTGTGATTGTTTATGTTACTTTTAATCTATACTAATAAAGCAAGTAAATTATGATTTTATCGAATGTAAATACTTGTATTGGATTCACGATTCCCCCTATTTCCATCTATTTCAATTAGTAATCTAGTTAACTTCATGAATTTTTGACAACTGATAAATCTAATATGTTAAATGTTCTTGTTCAAGATATACCAACATATGATTAACATGACTCGATTATATTTTTAGTCCGAATTCATATGAAAATCATGCATTTAATTTATTATCTACATAATTGTATATATCATAAATATTATTCCTAATATCTATTACTCATGTGTTATTTTACCTCATTTTAAACTTATTGAGAGTATTCCTACACTACAATAAGTAACAAATTATTCAAATGGTGATCAAACAATTTAAATAGTGCAATGTAAATGCAAAATCAATCAAGAAATACCAAATTTAAAGTCTTAAATTGACATAAACAAAAATAGGGTTCCTCGATCATCCAATACAATAGATAAACCTAGCTAATTATCCTAAACATTGAATTACACAAGAAAATATGGAATTACATCACCCGAATCAAGAAATGATGGATGAAAGTGGAGAAATCCACTTTCTTGAATGAAATCTTGAAAATGGAAAAGAAATCTTTAATAATCTTGTGAAAATCCATATTTGATTGATGAATTGGCCTCGTTATTCACCCCCAAACTATGTAGAATATATGAATTTTAGGTCTAGAGAAGTCTCCCCACATTCTAGTTGAATTTTGGTATTTAAATTATGCCAAAACGATTGTATTGAATTGTTTCCAAAACAAAAATAAGAAAAATCGAATTTTTACCCAATTTATACTAAGGCGCGCACCTGAAATCTTTAGGAAGTCTCGGGCGTCCTAGAAGAGGAGGAGGTATGTGCCTCATCTGCATGCCTACGCCCGAGCCTAGGTTTGTCCCGAGTAGCGTTCAGTATTTTTGTTATAACTTTATCTCCTAATATCCGATTGAGATGATTAAAAATGCGTTGAAAAGATAATTCAAAATGTTACAATTATTTTTGATATACTATTTCTCCAATTCGAACGTTTTCTATATCAAAAATGGGATGCAATTTAGGACTAAAAATTCGGAGCATAACTTTTTCACTTGAAAGTTGACGTGTGATAATACTTTGATTAAATTTCATTAGTTTGATTTATTTATGCGTCTAATTGACTCATATCACTGTCGAATCTTCATCGTAAGATCCGACATAGTATTTGAGTATTTGCACTCTAGTCCTCGAAATTTGAATTTACTTCATTTTACCTCTTTTCCATTCTTTCTTCCAATTTTTCATCTGAACTTGAAGTTTCCTAATAAAAACAATAAATAACAAATTATTCTCTAATTCATCCAAATAATGACAAAATATGATCATTTAAGACCCCAAATAAGTGTAGAATATACCCTTTAAAAATAGAGTTTTTTAGTGATCTCTAAGAAACTATCTAAAAATAAAATAGAATAATGTTATTTGTACGTAAGGAATTACATAATCGTTTTCCTTCATATGAGATGTCAAAAAGAAAGTGAATTTTTTTTTTTTTTTCAATTTGGTTAATGAAATTCTGATATAATCATACAAGCGCAGATTTGACAGTGAGCTACACTTGGTTGTAGCCCACTATTGTACAAGCCCAAATTTGAAGGACTACACTATTTTTTTAATCTTTGACACATTTATTTAATTTTAGGCCCAATTCTTTAAACAAGACTACTTAATTTTAATCTATACCATTTTCTACTATCTTCGCCTCATTTGAAAACCCAATTGAAATAATTCCCAAAACCTTTAAATCCAAAATCTTTTCATGGTTTCACCTAAGTGCAGAGATGATCGCCGACCACCTACCACCGATTGGCACCGCCAAACACACCTGATTATAGAAAGTGACTTCTTTAAATAGTCGTGTGGAAGAAATGAGCATTTATTCAATTTGCTGAGAAAACTGATCTGAAGGAAAAACTCTATGTGTGAAGCCTTCAGGTACGTTATGTTTGAGTTCCTGCACAATGCACTGTGCAAGCACAATCTTGTATTTAAGACCGATTTTACTCATATTGGGCACGATGATAGTGTGTGGGTGTGAATGAAATTTCAAATGTATTTCTTGATAAATTGTAAGATACTGAATTGTTGATTGCTATATTATTTTGCTTCAAATTTGTAATTCCTTGATTTAAAATTAGTGCATGGAATTGAGCAGGGACGTAGTTAGGATTTCAATCTTGGGGGGGAGGGGGGGACAAAATACGAGGAGTGGTGGGGGCAGGCCCCCCTCCCGCTCCCTAATTTTTTTTTTAATTAAGAGAATTGAAAACGACGATTTTTAGTACCAAAATAGGCAAGTTAGATTGATTGACCAAAAAGACAATCAATTTGTCGATACAAAAATAATATGTCCTTCTATGTGTCTAACGCTATACAAATTGAAAATATGAAAGTTAGACGGACATCAAAAAGATAAAAAGTAAACTGCCTATCTGTATAATAGATGGTAAAGATGACTTGGACATCTGAAATTGGTCTCTCATTTCCCCATCACTTCAAATTCGTCAATAAGAGAATCTAATGGAAAAGTATTAACAATCTCTTTCTCTAAATACACAAGCATGGTACTGGATTAAAAATCATCTTCCATTCTATTACGCAACATTGTCTTATGACACTCATAGATGAAAATGCATCTTCTGTAGTTGCTGTTGAAATTGGAAGAGTCAAGACAAGATAAATCAATCTATCCACAAGATTATAACTCATTGATTTTCTTGTCAATGCCAACAGTTGGCACATATCTATTGGATCTGGGCTATTTATTTATTTAAATAACTATTGGATCTTTTGTTTAGATCTAATATTTTTGTATGGTTGAAGTTTAAAGTATAAGTTATTGGATCAATATTTATTAATGGAAAAAAAATTTCAAAATTTTGCAGGGGTGAGTCAAAATTTTTGGGGAGGGGGGGCGAAACTGAAAAATACATTACAAATTAATTAGGAATAGTGGACCGGCGGACAATGTTGGGGACGGTCGCCCCCTGCCCCCTATCTCCATTTCTGGAATTGAGTGTTTATTTTGTAATGGGATTATTTGAAAACGAGTGCTCTGTGCAGCTGCCTGTGCTTAATACATATGATATGAATTGTAGAATTATATTAAGGAAAGAAATTTGGGAAATGTTAGCTTTGAGAATTTTGAATGTTAGCTCAGGTGCGTTAGGCTATTTAGGAATTTAGCCATGTTCAATTTTGAAAATGACTTCTCTGTTCTTAATGCATATGATAGGAATTTATAAGATACTGAAGTATTTTTATTTTTATGCTTTTAGGTTTAATATGGAAGAAGATTGACCTTCTTTCAAGAAAGGAAGAACCTTGCTAACTTTCTTTCCAAAGAGCAACCAACCTCAAGGTACTCCAATTCTTACGGCGTCCACTCCAATTTCATCTTCTGAAGTTGAACGACCGTCATCTTCTAATCTTAATTTGGAACCATTTGATTCAATTGAACGGGACCCAGAAAAAAGAAAGCAAATATGTGAACATCCATTTACTGAACACGATCAAATTAGGCGAGCCTATCTAAATGCTAGACCTTATCAACCAAAATTTTTGGAGTATAATAGTAAAGAATGTAGAAAGCAGAAATGTCGATTTCAGAAGCGTTGGTACAATCAATTTCCTTGGTTGGAATATTCACTTTCAACACATAAGGTATATTGTTTTTATTGCTTCCATTTTCTCAATGATAGTACTCCACCTAATATTTCATCGTTGGTTATTGTTGGATTTGATAGTTGGAAGAAGGTTAACCAAGGAAGTAAGTGTG